CTAACAGTGCTGGGATTGCATAATCTTGGACTATTAGAAGGCCTTCAAGTTCAGGGATGGATGCATCTTGTTTACTCCTATGTCTTAGCACCTGGCAGTGTGCTCAGCACAGAGACCCCACCCCCACCCACACACACACATGTGTTTGTTGAAGTGTTGGGTGCATGAACACCCAAGAGAGATGGATAAGGCAAGTTGTGGCTGTTAGGTCCTATAAGCACCTTCCCATTTTGAATTTTTATCTTCTTGTTCTGTCCTCTCACAATTTCTCTTTCTTTTCTCGCCCAAGCACTGGGTAGGAAGGAAAACCCCGGTGAGGCTGCCTAGGAGCAGCAAAAATGCCGAGAAGACACCAGGGCTGCTAAGCCTCACCCAGTTTCCCCTTTGCACCACTCCATTCAGTAGTCTGTAATCACTCCAGCAGGCAAGTGGAGTTCTTGATCCCTCCTAAGCATGGACAGATAAGACAAAGAGCACACACCCCCTGCTGATGGCTTACCAGGCCAGCCCAGTTACGCCCTTCAGAAGACATACTCTGGGATGTGAGATAGAAACTAGGCTTAGGTGAGGAATGGAACATAAAGACACTTAATTCTAGAAGTAGAGGTATTATATGTGTTTATTCATCACTATATTCATCACAGAGCCTGGTGCGTGGCAGGCACCTTTAAATATTTGTTAAATAAAAGTGTAATATGGTGGCCAACATTCCAATTTCTTCCTTAAATTTGATCAATTTTTTTTTTTAAAGCCTGTATTTTGCCATTTCTTCAAAGGGCCATAAGACATGACTGTATATTTACATTGGCCAACCTTACGTTCCCCAGTGAACTGGTGTTCCTGAGCTGGAAAGTAGCTTTCCAGAAAATGGAGTAGAACATATTTGTAGTTACCCTTCAACAACTTCTCAATGACATTTAGGGAGTGGTGACAGATTAGTGTTTGCACCTCAACTCAGCCATTTTCTCTATTTTTTTAAATATATTTAAAGTCTGAGTTCAGGCTCCAAACTTGAAGTGATTTATTTGAGCTTCTAAGAAAACCCCTGCTCTATTCGCACACTTGGTGTTGAGTTCGAGACTTCTCCAGCACCCCTTGCCTTTTACACAAGACACTTCCTTCATGTTTAATGGGTACTTTTTTAAGCACTCAATGATCGATATGTTTAAGAACACACATCTACACCTAAAAAGCAAAACTAAACATAGGTTGGATGGGGTAGGATTTCCAACACTGTCTATCTGGGACTTGGTGATCTCTCTGAAGAAGGAAGACTGGAAAGTTTCTTTCTTTATAGAACTGTTTCTAAGATTAATTTTAAGGGATGGCACACATTTGATGAGCCCTGGAGCTGAACACAACATATTTTCTTAGAGCAAAAGTCTACGTTTGGTGGCTCTCAGTACATTTAGAACCCTCATAAATACTCATCAAAAAAGCAAAATGCTCCACACTTCTTTATTGGTTCTGGCTCTAATGCCACACTTGCTGATTAAAGCATCAAATTATGTCTTATGCAAGAACAGGAGAAAAGAGAATTCAGAACCATGTTATTGCTTTTGCCAAAAATTTCACTGTGCACTGCACTTTGAGCTTTTAACGCCTGTCTATATAAGTGTTACCTCAAAATGACTACAAGTCACACACAAACACACACACACACACACACACACACACACACACACACACACACACCACCACCACCACCACCACCACCACCACCACCACCACCACCAAAAAACCCAAACCAAAACCACTCCTTCAGACTTTAACTCCCAGGGTCACCTGTGTTGTGTTTATTCCTTCATTTACTTTTTTCTGTTTGGCTTTTGGTAAAGCATAGTAAGGATACTCTGAGCTAGACTTTATACTCCGGGCACATTCTCTTCCCTCAGAATCCTCTCAGGTAGAATGGAAGACAGCACAGTGTTTCCCAGATTTACCACGAGTGTTGTGTCCTGCCTCTACACTACTGCTTGGCAGGAAATTTCAAATATTGGTTCAATGTTAGTCAAAAATTTCCCATGGAAGACTTGTCTGAATTTTACTGGATCTGATGGATTTCAAATGGGGAGCTGAGTGCCTGGGTGCAAAGTAATGTGTTTAGGAACTCAGGACTTAACTCTGTCACTCTCAGACCCTGTATCAGCAGCTGGGTTCATTTTTTTAATTACCTGGCTTGTAGAGAAGCAATACTCTAGCTGAAGCTCCACCTAAGCCCCTTTCAGTTAGCCAAAGAATAGACAGAAAACCACAGGGGTGACTGAGGCGAAGGTGAGAATTCTATGAAGTTTGCCCAAATGAACCAATTCAGTTGGGAATGGCTTCTTGTACTTTGCATTCGTGACAAACTGGGTGCCTTGAGATGCTGATATTTCTAAGTTACTTCAGCATCTTTATTTGGACCCTTTGTTCACAGACTGAAAGTCAAGGGACAAATTTGTCTTGCTCACTTACAGGGATACCTTAATTTAGCCACATCTGCATACTGTCTCTCCCCAGGCTGGCTTCCTTTTGCTATATCCACATCTTGGTAGCTGCACAAATTGAGTGTTTTTTAGGCACATAATTAGTTAGCCTGGAGCTACAAAAGCAGTGTGAGAAAAAGGAGGTTACCTATTGTCAGAGGAAGGAAAAATGCAGGGGAAATATAGTGTGTTATTGTTAAGTTCCTGCAAACCACTGTGACCTAGGAGTTTGTCATAGGTTACACTGACGTGTCACTCAGGGGAGTGACAGAGTGGAGCCCTGATTTGATGGATGTGCCACTCAGTCCATCTCATCTGCATCATTGTATCATCTCACCAAGTTACACATGTTCTCTGTCTCCATTTTCTTATCTGCAAAACGCAGAAAAGAGATTAGCTTCCTCAGCATGGCTACGACGACTATGGGAGACTACATGAAGACTATAGGCTGAGTGATAGGCTCAGCCAAGTGCCAGACATACAGTGTATTTACCAGCAGGAAACAACCACCGCCTTCTGCCTCCTTCATTTTGTTAAAAAGAATAGATGGTTTCATTGTGGAAAAAAATCAAAATCACTTCATAATTTTTGTCCAGCGCTGCACTGACTTTTCATTTCTTAAAATAGATTTTTTTTTAAACTGACTTTTCTGGACATTATTGCATTCTGGTCTTGTCAGGAGGGATACAATAAAAGACCATGCAGGCTTATCCCAACTCCAACTGATGGTCGATGACCCTGACTTCTTAAAGTGACAAAGGTTCAATTGTCTTCCTTATGGCTTCACATATGGAGCCACAATTTTTTCATGATTAGCAGGTGAAGGAGAAAGCAAACACTTGTGGGTTGTCATTTCCCCAAACTCCACTAATTTATATTGTGGAGTAACTTCGTGTGCTGACAATTCAGTTTACAACTCATGACTTTACATTCAACCTGTTACAGCTGACCAAATATGTAAAGTGGAGCTAGGGAGTTGGCTGTGTGTGCTGGAGAGGATGAGCCCTGCCCTCTGCTGAAGCTTTCACTCCTCTCAAGAGTAAAAGCCATGCTTACTTTTTTTTTTTTTTTCAGCAGACTACCCACTAAGGCATACTTGGTTCCTGTAGGATGAATGACATCTGAGTTTGTTATTAGGAACACAATCACAAGAACTAGGACCTGGTAATATAAATGGGCAGGTGGGTTTGGAGAAGTTTGTCTTGAAGATAGATCTATAAAAATGCAGACTGATTATCAAAGTGAGCAACTCCACCTTAGCATGCAAATAGCAGGTGCATGGTGCCCTAACAGTGGGGCCCTGAATGGTCAGTGCATTCCAAGTCAGACATGACTATTTCCTTAGGGTTAACCTGAGACCAAAAATGGTTATTCACAAAGAATATATGCCTCAGGGTTGTAGGCAAGCATGGAATTCCAAACTTTACTTTCAAAAATCTCTAAAAATTGCCAAGCTTTAGCTTCTGAGTTAAAGATGCCCTTAACTTTTGTTATGAATGCATTCTCTAGTTCATTTACCATGAAAAAAGACTATGTCGATTGTTGACTCCATGAAAAAAAACCATCAAAAAACAAACAAAACAAAAAAATTAAAGCATGTTTGTGTCCATTGACAAAATTAGTTAATCACCTTATCATCTCTATTTGCTATAATTACACTAATAGATCAATTAGCAATAAAGAATTTAGACCATCCTCTGCCCTCAGCTAACCAGGTGATGCATTAAGAAACCATATTTCTAGGTACATATGACCAGACATTCATTCTGCATCAGTCTGAATTAAATAACAGCAACTTTTCTCCTGATTAGCTTGAGTTATGACCACACCAGAGCCAAGCCTGGGCCTTTGGCAGATGGTGGCACAAATACACGATGTAAAGAAAGTCAGAAAAGACACAATGGCTACTTGAAGCCTGGCTTTTCATGCAATGCAAGAGATTTACTTTAGCAATAGGAATACTTTTTTAAAAAATAGAAACTCAGTTCTTTTAAAGAGTGTCTCAGAATCAAAAGGAATCTCATTCCTTCATTATACCTGGGTATAAGACCTTATGAGATTAACACATAGTATTTGGTAGCTATTTAAGGAGTTGAAGACATTTGCACTATGATGCTGAGGAAAAAACTTTAATTAAAATGGTAAGCAGGTTGTAGCATAACGCATATACTTAGAACATTAAACACTCTTAAAGTGGCTGAGATAGAATGGCATTGCATTTTTATAAAGACTAATATAACTTTGCTTAAATAGTTTCCTTACTGTGTTAAAAAAAGAAGCCCAGAAACCTAGTATATACTTCAACAGCTAATGTGGGAATTATAATACATAACCCAGACTCTGTGGTTTAAACATATGCATAAAAGAAAGCAAAGTTAAAGGAGGGAGGAAGACACCATCATTAAATATTTCTAAAAATTACATTAGGAAAGAAAAGTATACAAATATACTTAAACGTGTACACACACACACACACTCACACACACACGGGGTGGGGGGGAAGGGGGCAAATCAATAGAGAGATGAACTTACCGGAGCAAATATCACCATACACATTTACAAAAGAATTGATAATCCAACTTCCCTCTCCTGAAATAAGATAGAGGTTGTCTCATACTAAAAATGAAGCCTCTTGTCTCTGTCCACAGCCCCAGCTCTTATCCCTCTCTTTATGAAGCAAAGGAGGAGGAGAAGAAATCAATGCAGAGGGAAAGTGAGATGCTATACCAATCAGATAGCAGCTTCTGCCTTCTTGCAGAGAGATGGGGAAAACAGTCACATTAGAAGACAGTGACAGCCCACAGCTGAGTACAGGAACCTGATACTCCCTTGATGCAAAGCTGCCTGCTTTGTGGGGAGGTGGTTACCTCCGTTGTGCACTCCCACACTTGGCTCTCAGCTCACAATTGCAAGTGCAGAGCTGCCTTGCACAAGCACACTGCATCATGAGCAGAGGCACCAGCTCCCTCGTATTCAGAAAGCCCCCTCCTCTCTCAGCCACAGTACTTAAAATCAAACTGGGAGCTGAACACAAGCCAGGATTTTACATGTTGAGGGTACAGGGAAGCAGTGGTTTCATTAAATCCTCAGGAATAGATTTGCATAGATGAGGCAAATGTATGTTTGTTTTAAGAAATTGCCCTCGTTTTTATGGAAATGCATGGGTGTTATGCATGATATCCATTTGGGAAATTAATGCACTGTCCATAAATAATCATTAAGATGATAGCACTGGAAGATGGGCTTTTCAGGCTCTGGAGACTATGGAAGGAACAAATTACAACTTGGTGACCATCCATCATGCTACTATTAATGAAGACCTGCAAAACCACAAAATTAAAAAGCTTGCAGAGGCTCAAGCAGGACCTACATTTCTTTCTTTCCTTTACAGAAAGAAAGGACACTGACTTCCTTAAGAGGCAGCCATCTCGATACCCAGAGGGTATGTGTTTCAGGATGCTGGACCAGCATTCATGGAAGGCCGTTGCAGGTTGCAGGCCCTCCTCATTTGGGTGCTTTGAGGATATTTTATCACACTCTAAAGATAATGTCTCCTGAAAATCTATACTGAAACATCTAGAGGGGAATCCTACACACCAGTGCCACTCTGTCCTGGGTGAGCCCCCTACTCAACACAAGGACAGTGTTTAGTTGGTGCTGGGGTTCAGTTTGTGATGGTGTCTACCCAGCACAGAATAGTGCTTAGTTGGCACTGGTGTTAAACCAGCACAGGGATGGTGTTTAGCTGGTGCTGGTGTCTTGCCTTTATCTTTTGCTTGGCTACTGATGCCACAATAGAAACTCAAATAGGTTACCATGTGTTAACCTGTTAATCCTGAATCTGCCCTGAATCTCGCTTGTCTCTCTGCTTCTGTCTGTTTAGTCTCTCTCCCTTTCTCTTATGGACAAGTACATAAACACCATTGTAACCATCATCATAATTTCTCTTTTAGACTTAATTTTTTTCCTGTGGGGAAGGGAAGGTGTGGGAGCAAACAATACCTCTAAAATAAGATAGTAAAGCAACCTAGAAGTCTGTGCTGTTCTTCTCTCACTGACTATGTGAGCTGGGGAGCCTCTTGAGGTCTCTGAGCCTTAGATTTCCCTCTGTAAAATGAGCACAATAACACCTCACCATTCTTGTAAGGAGGTGTAAAGAAGGAATGAAAGATAGACAAAACAATGCTCTAATCAGATCCAATGTGTGCTCAGGAACTCTGGCTTGACATCTCTTCATTTGATCTTGCTCCATTTGTGTTTTTCTCAGCAGTACTGAAGATAGAACCAAGGGCCTCAGGCATTCCCGGGAAGTGCGCTAGCACTGAGTTCAGCCTCATCTTAAAATCCTGTTCCCAATTCAGCAAGACTTCAGGGTACCAAATCCTCATCAAATTGCATGGGCCATGGACTCCACCATCCTTCAAATTCTCATACAATCTCTTCTCCTTGCTCTCTCTCTCTGTCTGTCTCTCTCTGTCTCTTTCCCTCTGTCTCTCTCTTTGTCTCTCTTCCTCTGTCTCTCTCTCTGTCTCTTACTAACAAATGCTTATTGAAAAGTGACCATGTGGCAATGAGAGAAAAATTAAGTGGGTGAAGCCAGTATGAAGGCTGTCACCTAGCATCTAAGGAAGCACTATGTCTTTGCAGAATTAATGAATGCATAATTTGTGGAAGGAATGATACTTCATGTTGAAGGCCACTGTTCTGGCCAGTGATGAGAAGGAATAAAGGGTGATTTTGCCAGCTGTGTAGCCACTGGAAAAACCCATACTTCACAGCTCTTCAGGAAGGACAGTGGATGTGTGTTCCTCATCACCTCTGAATATAAAGAGACTCACTTCAAATTATAGACACCTTCTATGTAATAACCATGGGCAATCTTGACTCTGCTCCAGGCAGTGTTCTCATGAACCACTTTATTTGGGACTCAGAGAACTAAAACTTTATCATTGTTATTCCAATTGACAGATGAAGAAGAAAAGACCCAAAGAATTATGTGGCTTGTCTTCAAGTACATGGTCAATAGTTAGCAAAGCTGTGATATAAGACTAGGACAAAAAAAATTATTCAGCTGTCAAAAAATTCACTACATCTGTCCCACAATGGTGCTTAGATCAGTATTTATTCAGAGAACTGAGAGTCGGAATCACTAATCCATGTGGAAAGAGGAGGACCCTGTGAGACTTGGGAGCATGATTTAACAAGGAGGTATAAGGTTATAGCTTGCTTTTGTTAGCAGTATGCTTTATGACCCTGAATTTGTTTGTGTATGAGTTTTCCCCATAGTTAGATTTAAGAATTTCTCTAAAAAGACTTTCTGGGTCACTGAGATTAGGTAAGATATGAGGCAAACTGAGATCTTCTGACTAGGTTAGCTTTCCCTCTCCAAAGCTTGTTCCAGATAAAGTATTTGCATGTGCTGACTGCCCATCACCACCACCTCTCACAGTAATAGATTCTAGGTAGGTCTTGCTAATTCCATAGTGTCCTGCAAATGCAGAAGTTGCCCATAGTAAGGCCTCTGGGGTGTAAACTAGACTAATCCCTTGTGTGGGAATGATACTTCAACTAGACCAATCCCTTGTGTGGGAATGATACTTCAACTAGACCAATCCCTTGAATGGGAATGATACTTCAACTAGACCAATTCCTTGAATGGGAATGGTACTTCAACTATTGTCAAGTAGGCTTAGAGGATAATCCAAGCTCCTTACTCTGCCCTCAGAGCCTTGAGGAGCTGGCTCCATCTACTGTTTTATTTCTTCTTCCTCACTCCTCACCAGGTTGTCCTCTGTCTTGACACCTTCCACGCTCCATCTAAAACCCCAGCTCCCGAGAAACTGCCCTGCTGTCAGTTTCCTTAGTCCCTCATCCTGAGTTCACCTTTTACTCTTGGGTCCTTCTTTGGCTACTACGTAAAAAGGAATCCTTCTGGCCTCTGTTCAGATCTTCCTTTTGTATTAGCCTGTTTGCTGTGTTTGTATATTATGGCTTTTGCAGCTCTCTCTCTTTACCCCTCCCTCCCTTCTTCTTGTCATTGAATTACTCCTTTACCAAAGAGGCAACTGTCCACAGAAGCAGAAGAAAACCTCTCACCCTCTCCCTTACCCACGCCCCTGGTGTGTGTGTGTGTGTGTGTGTGTGTGTGTGTGTGTGTGTGTGTGTATGTATGTATGTAATGTTCTGAATGGGGGTGGTGACAAGAGAACCTTCAGAATTATTCATCAGAAGCCATCTACCTTGTTTATTTGATACAGGGGCTCTTAATGGCTTTGATTTTCCTAATTAGCTTAGAGTGGGTAGTCACCAAACCGCCAGAATCCTGCTGTCCCTGCCTTCCTAGCAATGGATTTACAATTGTGTAACTCTAAGCCCAGCATTTTCACATGTTTTCTGAGTTTGGACATAGATCATGTTTGTAAGACAAACATGCTACCAACTGAGCCACCTCCCTAGACAAAGAAGCCTTTAAAAAAATCATTTCTTCAGTATTAAAGCACCTGGAATGCAGTAGATATTCAGAAGGTTTTTGGTGGGTAAGTAAATGGCTGATCCAAACAATGGATCAACATGAGAAAAGATAAGGCAGGGATGATTGTAAAGAAAGCTAATTCATTATGGTAACTTAGCACAAGATAGGTGAACAAAGCAATTACTTCATTCCTATTAGTGGATGCAGACTGCCTTTTTTTTTTTTCATGGTACATTCTAAAAGGGCTACAGATATCAGTGTTCATATGTGTAAGAGATGACCACATAAAGATAGAGGCCCTTCTGCAAACTCTACAGACCAGGCATTTCTTATACGTCTGACTCAGGGTTCAGTTCCCTTAGACTGAGTGCCTGGCTCCCTTGGAATTCTTGACCATTCCTAGGCCTCTGGATAGCAAACAGTCCTGTCACCTAGCAGCTCAGATTGTCTCTACCTTCCAATTGACCAGACAATTCAGTCAGCTGTCACTGCCTAACATGCAATCAAAGCTGACTGAATAAAGCATCGTGTCATGATTCGATGTCTCTTTTTGAAAATGGCATCAACATCATTGCTTTAAATGCCTTAAAACAACATTTGTCCATTAATAGATGATTATAAATAGCAACACAGCATTTTCTAAGTTAAGTATTTATAGAGAAGGTTAAGGAGATTAAAATAATCTGTGATTCTCTGAAAACTTCATTAGCAATGCTAATTTCCAATATGGTCAGATCTTTAGATCTGATCTTCCAATTGAGCATGGCCTTCAGACAACTTCAAAAGATTATTTTTTCTCTCAATAAAAAAGCTTGGCTCTGCTTTGGTGGACTTGCCTCCTGGTAAACGCAACAGTTCTTTACCTTTGGAGTTTCTCTGTCTCAACATCTGGCCTCTCAAAAGGGGTCCTTCCAGGCCTGCCTGCCTACTTCAGGGTCAGGCAGTGGGAGGCCTCACTGCCTAAGCCTATAATACACAATGAGAGGAAAATTCCAGACCCAGGAGGATCTCTGTGTAGCAGTGGAGCAAGGGAAGCAATCAAAGATATGGCCATCTAGACCATACTAACAAATGACCAGGACATTAGCTAAGGCTCTACAAATGACTTTGATTGTTTGAGTTGCAGAAATGAGAGCACTTACATTCATTCAATCCATTTATGTGCCAACCTTGAAATCTTTAATGCTGTTCCTCTTAGAGCTCTTGTCATGGATAAAATGCAATTTATCCTGATATCAGTAGGTATGGAGAGTTAGGGCAGGACTTTCCAGGATATTGCACTCCCTTCCGTGTGTGTGTGTGTGTGTGTGTGTGTGTGTGTGTGTGTGTGTGTGTGTGTGTGTGTTGAGACAAGGTTTCATATAATAGGCCAGGCTATCTCCAATTCAACACAATTCTCCTGCCTGATCCTCCTGAATGCAAGGACTGCTGTCATGAGCCACCACACTTGGCTTTTTATTTTGTTTGTAGGAGAAACAATTTCTT